GTAAAACAAAGATTTATATTTTTGATATTTATTTTATATATTTAAATGCCATTTAACAAAGAAAAATCAACCAAAAAAATGAGTTTGCGTGTCACTTCTGACACACGTGTCACCTCTGACACACGTGTCATAGGTTCGCCATCACTGCTCTATAGAATGTATTTTTTTAGTAACTGAGGAGGGAGGTAATTCTATTCACAGCCTAATCGCTATTCCAATCCTAGTATGGGACACTAGTCTGCATTTCTGAATCAGTAACCCCAATTACTATTGCTATTCCCTCAACCTTTTGAGCATTTCTTTATTACAGGAACACACTTGATGTGAAACATAATAACTTTGTTAGAAAATTCAAAAATTAAAAACAGATAACTTTAAAAATCTACTGCATTTTCCTTTTTATTACATATTATGTGGAGTCCATTGAGATTTACTTGTAATGCTAAAATTACAAGTAAGCAAAATGTCAACTTATTTTTCTAAGAAATGTTCATAATCGAGCTATTAAAAAGGAATCTAATTCCAAAATCAAAGTATTCTCAAATCACATAAAAACTCCAAAGATGACATAAGGAACATAGAGCTTTATTTTTATTATTTGCTACTAAGGGGGAAACACACCTCACTTCTTGTAGGCCGATCTCCATAAGCGAGAGAAGGAGCTGAGTCTGGAGAAGGAGCAGAACAAGCGTCTGTGGGACCGGGACACCGGCAACAGCATCACCATTGACCACCTGCGGCGGGAGCTGGACGACAGGAACATGGAGGTGCAGCGCCTGGAAGCCCTCCTCAAGGCCATGAAGAACGAGTGTCAGGGCCAGATGGAACGGCAGGTCAGCAGGACGCAGGACAGCTTCTCCCAGTGGTCTCTTGGGGATCAGGGGATGACGTATTTTATGTCTCACTGGTAAAGCTTTAACAAAAACACACATGTATGGGCCTAAAATAGTTCTAAAGTAGAGCTGTGGCTTCAATGAACAAGCTTTAAACACCTGTGATTTCAATATTTTTGACCACTTACTAAATTTAAAATGTTAAGCTTTTTCTCATTTGTGTCCATTGTTGAGTAATGAAATTCCCGCCCAGTTGCCTTTTTCACCTAGAATTTGGTGCCCTAATAATTGCTTATTTCAGAGAAGCATCAAACCATAGGGAGAGCTTAGGAACAGCCGAGTGGAAGGTTTTTAGGGGAACCTTTGGTTTTGTTTTTACTTTTCTCCAAGCGGATTGAGTGCACAGGATGGTGCACTCCAGGTCAGTGCGCCGGTAGGGAGACACGGTGCACTCGTTAAGAGTGTGGCCCTCCGCACTGGAAGGACATGGCTCCATTGCCACTTACTGTCACAGAGACATAACAAGCACCACACACACACACACACACACACACAGCATGCCACAGAAGAGTAACCTTCCCAAATGTGAAAGCAAACCAAAGGGACCAGCCTTGGCTTAGACCCAGGCAAAGCCACTTTCCTATTGTCTGGCCCAATCTGGGAAAGAAGAAAGATGAAAGAAGCGATTAGAATTTAGACTCTTACTCTTTTCCTAACAAGGGCCAGAGAATGTGAATGTATGTTGGATAAAAGCTATTACTCACTTTTCCCTAAGGGGTAGAATTAAAGAGCAGATTGATGGGAAATAGAAAAGGCAGTTACCTACAACCCTACCACACTTCCCCCTGTTGCCAGTGTTATCTTAACTTAAATTGGTATGGAAAACATCCTCAGAGAGATCTTCCTAAGATCCCCACACTAGACAACCCTTTTGGGGGAACATTAATATTTAATTAAGGCCTCTCCACCTTGTTCTAATTAATACGTGTCAGCCTATGGTCTATAGGAGTTCTGAGAGCAAAATGATTTGAGTTGGCCTAAGTCATTATTATCCGATGAATGATTGCATGTGTTTAAGCTAACTTGTTATATCTCTTGAGGTTACCGCTACCTATCTGCCCAAATCCATGAAATTCTTTTTTCTCTAACGATCAGATGGCAGCAATTCAAGGAAAGAATGAAAGCCTAGAAAAAGTGTCCTCCTTGACCGCTCAGCTTGAATCCACCAAAGAGATGCTCCGCAAAGTCGTGGAAGAGTTGACAGCCAAGAAAATGACCCTGGAGAGCTCCGAGAGGACCGTGTCGGACTTGACCGCTTCCCTCCAGGAAAAAGAGAGAGCCATTGAGGCCACCAACGCGGAGATCACCAAGCTGCGCTCCCGGGTCGACCTGAAGCTGCAGGAGAGGCAGCAACTGAAGAAGGAAG